AATGGTCTCAAGTTGCTGTGGAGAAAGTCTAGGTCGGATATTAGGATAAACTATTTCACTCGGAGGGTGGTGATGGGAGCACTGGAATGGTTGCCTTGAGAGGTGGTGGAATCTCCATCCTTAGAGGTTTTTAAGGCAAGGCTTGACAAAGCCATGGCTCGGATAATTTAGTTGGACTTGGTCCTGCTTTGAGCAAGGAGTTAGACTAGATAGCCACTTGATGTCTCTTTCAACTCTAATCTTCCATGATTCTATGAAATGGGTCCCAACTGTAAATTTCTGTTAGTCTCAGAAATCTGTTATCACTTATGTTTTCAAAGTACCCTTTACAAGGAAGTGGGCTGAAACCTTATATTTGAATAAAAAGATTCTCTTTTAGAAAGCCAAGTTTGCATCAGTTAACAGAGGGGTTCCTGCAAATGATTCCTCCAGCTCATCATTACAATAATAAACACATTTGTTTAAAGAATTCAACTACTGAAGTTTACATAGTAGTAGTCTAAATATCAGCACTTGATCAAAGTTGATTTGTGCCAATCTTTAAAGTGATATCTTACCTCTCAGAAAGCACAAACACCAAGAGAAGGGCTTTATCTTCTTTCTATGCATAGTGGTTTGCTTTGCAATATTTTACTGTCTGTGTTACCAACGGGTTCAATCTTACATTAATTTGTTGTATTACATATGAGATACTAAGAGTGTCTCTTGCATTCTTATATGTAACTAAATTGGCTGGTGTATGAAAGCATTAGTGCCAGCAAAGCGGCAATCCCATCCATATTTTGAGAATGAGGTAGTCATCTGGAGGCAGGAGCCTGCAATGCAGTGGTGAGAGATATTTGATATTGCTGTAATCACATTTGAATTTCAAATTAATGGAAGTTAAAATCTCTCAGCACCAGAGTTTTGTACTCATAGGATATGTCTAAACTACATGGCTCCGTCGACGGAGCCATGTAGTTTAGACATATCCTATGAGTACAAAACTCTGGTGCTGAGAGATTTTAACTTCCATTAATTTGAAATTCAAATGTGATTACAGCAATATCAAATATCTCTCACCACTGCATTGCAGGCTCCTGCCTCCAGATGACTACCTCATTCTCAAAATATGGATGGGATTGCCGCTTTGCTGGCACTAATGCTTTCATACACCAGCCAATTTAGTTACATATAAGAATGCAAGAGACACTCTTAGTATCTCATATGTAATACAACAAATTAATGTAAGATTGAACCCGTTGGTAACACAGACAGTAAAATATTGCAAAGCAAACCACTATGCATAGAAAGAAGATAAAGCCCTTCTCTTGGTGTTTGTGCTTTCTGAGAGGTAAGATATCTCCTTAATCCCTCCTTTCCCATGAAGCTGATATAGCAGTTGAGGTATTAAAAGCTTTATCTAATTCTCAGTGAAGTCAATAGAAAGTCAATCGTTAGGTTCACTGTGAGTTGAAACGAGCTATGAAAGCATATTGCACCCATTTTTCTTACGACTCATTCCCCCAAGAAAGAAATATTTTCTGTCCTTAGAGTGACTGAATAATTTACTGCCATTTTAAAACTTGAAACTGATGGCAGAGAAGTGTCATAGTTTATTAAAACAGATGCATTGGAATATGTGAGAGAAATTAGATACCGATTTCCATCTTAATGTCACATGAAGTTAACCTCATAAGAACAGAATTGTACATACCACCCAAACATCTTGTTAAACTGTAATGTTGTGCCTTCAGACTGGAAGTGAAAAATCAGATCTAAAGCCTCGGGGGAAGCCGCCGCCGGAGCCCCTCCGCGGCTTTGCAAAGCCTCGGGGGAAGCCGGCGGCCGGGCATCCCAGGCACACCTGGGCTGCCCTGCCGCTGGAGCCCCTCCGCGGCTTTGCAAAGCCTCGGGGGAAGCCGGCGGTGGGGCATCCCAGGCTGCCCCGCCGCCTGTATACCCGGCGTATAAGACGACCCCCGATTTTTGGGGGATGTTTTTTAGCATCAAAAGTCGTCTTATATGCCGGAAAATACGGTAGTTAATTGAATGATTTTGTCTGGTGACCATGCTTTCAATATTTTAGAAGGCATAGATTTGATCCTGGCCTATGTGATTTACTTATATATTAAAAGAAGAAAATAAATTTTCTTAACTTTGAATAAATTGGTCATTGGACTGAATTAGTGGAATAAACTAAAACAAAAAAATTATTTCTGCACCTGCAGAAAAGGCTACTGATTTCAAAAGCTAGTTTAGCACTTCAGTAAACCAGGATGGTTCAGGTGCTTAAGTTAATGACTTTTTCCAATTCAGTGGTTTGACTTTCTTTGAAAGTTGGCAGCAAACATGTTGTTGCTTATTTCTTAAAGATTATGGTAAATTTAGATCTTAATGTAACTTGTCATTATTTCAGATTTACTTATATTTGTTTTTTAAATGTTTAATTTAAATTAGAAAATCTAATTTATATTTTTAAAAATCTGATTTTTTTAATAGTTGATTTTAATGGACTCTGCCTAGCGGTTAGGGAAATTAAGAAGTTGTAGTAGTATCTGCCAAGGAATATTTTAGAGCAGGTTACACAGAAGTTAAGGATTAGCATAGAGAAAATTCTGACCTACTTGGATTGCAATTCATGATGCCTTTTCTATCTTGTAAATCTGTGATTCTATAGAAAATGAAAGTTACAGTTTATCTATAATTTAATAAATAGTCTGAGGATATTTTTATAATATCTTGACATTTTGAAGGGAATCCAGCAAGAGGCATATGAGCTGCACATATTAAATAATATAATGACTGAAAGGCAACATAAAGTACTATCATATTGCTTAGTAATCCATTCCTTGAGCAAATGAAACATTAACCTGAAATTTTGAGTTTACAGTCTGTGTGTGTTTAAAAAAAAATAGAAGAAAAATCCACTTATTGTTGTAGCAACTTTCGTGAAGCCAGGAGGATAGAGAAATGTAGTTTCTCTGTTTAATCTATATCATAAAGACCCAGGATACTTGAAACCATCCCCCATGATACTTGAAACTAGCCTCATTCATAGGCTAATTCGTGAGGCTTCCAAAGTTTAACATGCCATACTGGAGCAGGTTTTCCAGCTCATTTTTGTCTCCAGAAGATGACTAGTTGAATATTATACATTGAGTGAAAGAAGTTAAACATCTCATGTAAGACTGAATGATTAAGTCTTTTCACTTGACTGTTATTATGTAAATACCGGGCTGCCCATGCTGCAGAAGGAGATAAAATCTTTAGAACAAAATATGTTAATTTCACACAATTATCTCTAACAATAAAATCAAAGCAAGACAACATCTGAGAATATTACCTAAATATGTATAGAAGTAATGGGATGAAATTAAGCTGATCATCATGAAAATGTCTGATAAGAGGTTGACTTGTAAAATGATGTTTCTCAAAGAAAGTGGAGAAATTTGGGATACTGAAAATTAACTGGAAAAAATAACACAAAGGCTGTGTCTACACTGGCATGAATTTCCGGAAATGCTTAAAACGGAATACTATTCCGTTTTCAGTTTTTCCAGAAAAGGAGCATCTACATTGGCAGGCTGCTTTTCCGGAAAAGCCCTTTTTCCAGAAAAGCGTCTGTGGCCAATGTAGACGCGCTTTTCCGGAAAAGACTACTGGTCTGTCTACACTGGCCCTTTTCCGGAACAGTGTTCTGGAATAAGGACTTATGCCCGAGCGGGAGCAGAATAGTTTTTCCGGAATAGCGGCTGATTTTGTACAGTAGAGCCTCGTTGCTTTTCCGGAAATTCAAGGGCCAGTGTAGACAGCTCGCAGCTTATTCCGGAAAAGCGGCTGATTTTCCGGAATAAGTGGCCCAGTGTAGACACAGCCACAGGATACTTATGAGAGTCATTGACAAGAAGTATTGTTGCATGGCCTAGATGATCTAACACTGTTTCATTATCTGTGACTTCTATAATTCTATAGGAAAATTGTTTTTCCTTTTTAAAGGGATCAGATACTCTTTAAGAATGTAGTCCACACAACATAGATGAAATTTTATTTTTTATCTTTTGATTCTATGAGCTTGAGTCTCTCTCATTAAAAATTATTTTTCTGGTGGTGCATAATTCAGCAGCCAGTATTTTTTCTGCACCCTTAAGCTCTTTGCTGGACTATTTTACATTTTAAGGGTGCTCAGCATTATGCAACTGTTGTAATACAGAACTCTATGATTGCTGTTAGTGGAGTTAGATCACACATAATCTATAGATTTATGTAATGCAAGTGAAACTGCTATTTAGGTAGATTTTATTTTGAATAGCATGTTAAGGTAACAGAACACAAAATCTTTTTGTATCAAATAAATGTTACTAGAATTTGCTTTCACTCAACTGATCTATTGTGCTGTTCATTAATGCACTTGCTATCAAGCTACTATAGATTACACTGTTGTTAAGTGGTTCCAGTATGCATTACCGTGCATGTATGAGTCTTTTTAATTGGTTGAGAGAGCTGTATTCTGTGTTCTTCTTTAGCTAAAATTTGGATCTTGCTCTTTTCATTTTATCTAATCTGCACTGCTTACCCAGACACATAAACTGTTATAATTTTTCCTTATCAGTATATTTGATTGTGTTGAAGGAACTGCATTCGAGAATCTATTAGAGATCTTATTTCAGTCTGTTCTTTTTGGAGAAATATGTTCTGGTTTTGATAATTACTTGAATGTCTTGAAGATTAAATTACCAGCAGAGATTGGGAGGGCTTCTGCTATAACTGAATATATTGCTATGCTGTATTAGATTGCCAAAGTCCAACTTCAGATAGAATATAGAAGAGTGTTTGTTAGATTTTGCTTGTAACCTAAAAAGTGGTGATGCAGTTATTCCATTTCTTGTGTGTGAAGTTACTGCATGTTTTAAATTATTGTAATGAATTTCCATGTGAGGTATTGTTTATGTACTGTGTAAAATAGAAATCAGGCTGATGGAATATGGTCAATTCACATGAATTATCTTCCGTCTTTTCTAGATATATGGGCAATTGGGTGTATATTTGCTGAGCTATTGACTTCAGAACCTATTTTTCACTGTCGTCAGGAAGACATCAAAACAAGCAATCCTTTTCATCATGATCAGCTAGATCGCATTTTTAGTGTAATGGGATTCCCAGCAGGTAATTTACGTTCAATAAAAGGTCATGAATAAACTCTTTGAGTTGGGTTTTGGCTTAAAGGAAATTACTAGCTCAATAGCTTTATGAAAGCTGGCAGCATGATGGATGTGGAGTCTCTGCCCAAGAAAGTAGTGGGACTTGTGGCATAACAATATGGAACAACTAACATAAAATGTCAGACAAATATTACAATGTATGTACATCATATTACTTAATCTGCACTTTAAACTGTCTAATCGCTTTATCTATTCCAAGATAAAGACTGGGAAGACATAAGGAAGATGCCAGAATATCCCACACTTCAAAAAGACTTTAGGAGAACAACGTAAGTGATTATACAACAGAAAGCCATTAATAACTGCTTGTAATAGATATACAGAACTCAGCGCTAGAGATCAGTTTAAATAATCTTATTCCAAAGTCAATACAAGACAGAATATTAGTTGGATTTTAAAAGAATGCTCGTGTCCATCTTTTAATGTTGGCATGAAGTTTTCTTGAGTAAGTCAGATTGTCCACTGCACTGGTAGACAAGGAAGGGAAATAGTGCAAGGAGCAACACAATCCAGAGCAAGGTACAGGCCGGGGTCCAGGAAATTAAGCACTGTTTTCAGCTCTGCCCTGGACTTTCTGGGTTACCTTTAGCACGCCTCTTGATGCCTCTGTGCATCGGTTTATATAAGACGAACCTTCTATGTCTGATTACTGTTAAAGTGAATGTTTGAGCTGAGGAAATGCAAAGACTTCATATGGCTCATGGCTCATGTTGGAAAAGGGGACAAAATTGTTTCTCTGCCAACTGAAGGGAATGGTTGCCACGGATTCTCAAATGGCAAATGATAATGCAGTGGCTACACTGTTGGAGCCATTGTGCCTATCTGGTAGAGTAGCTCCTAGTAGGATAGTGCAACTCTGCCCTCTCCACAGCATTTCTTACGGCTATGTGCTACTAACAAGACCTCAGCCATGTACCATCAAAATGGTGCATTTCATTGTACTACTGTACAAGCAGTTTAGAAAATACTGAATACTGAAATACTGAAAAGCAGGGACAAACATTCACACTTCAGAAATAGTGTGTATTGCAAGATACATATAAAATATTATTTCTGTTAACAAATTTAATACAAAATGTGTCCTTTGAACTACTATGCACTTTCTCTATTGCTTTGTGCAGTGCCATAAGCCTGCAATATGCTGTTTTTGAAATGTGTTTACAATTTTTCAGGTATGCCAATAGTAGCCTCATAAAATACATGGAGAAACACAAAGTCAAGCCTGACAGTAAAGTTTTTCTTTTGGTATGTACTTCACTGTGCTATTAAGGATTATTTTGCTTTGAAATATAATTGTAATATTAAAACTGTTTTATTTCTCTTTCCTGTACATTTTACATGAATTTTAAAAATATAAATGATAATTACAACCAGGACTTTCAAATTTGTTAACAAATTTGCCATTGTCTGGTATCTTTATATGTTATTAAGAAGCTTCTGCATTTCACCCCAGAATTGGCCGCTTTTCTGAGACTGGTGAAGTAATCCCTCTGCATAGTTATATCATATCTGTTTGTGAATTATGCATGTATTGGTGGGAGAGAGAGAGGGGGATCACCTGGCCTTTTAAAGGATAAATGCTCTCTTTAGTTCTTTGCTATTCAATATTAGGGATGTTAGATATTAGTTAATTGAATAGTCAAGTAACTACATTAATTTCTATCGGTTACTCGACTATTCTGTAGTCCATGGGGGTGGAGCTAGCAGCCAGTATGCTCCAGCCCCACTCCCAGAGAGCCCTCTACCACCCTGCACTGCTGCCTCTATATCAGAGGCAGCAGCACAGGGTGCCAGGTGGGAGCCAGTCTGTGAGGGGAACCAGTTTAAAAACCAGCACCCTGTGCAGACCGGCTGCCTGCCGCCCCACGCTGCTACCTCTGAAACAGAGGCAGCAGCACAGGGCGGCAGCAGCCCCTGTCCACGGCGGGGGGGCCCAGGTGCCGGTCTACGGGGATTGGGGAGAGGGGGAGAAATGCAAGTAGTCAAGAAGATTAATCAATAAGCCTCGGATTATTGGTTAATCATATATTTGACAACTTGTTTACATCCCTATTTAATATAGAAAAGTCCAATAAAATCCTAAAAACCTTGCAAATTTACTCCAAAGCCAGTCTCTTGTGTTGGACATTTATCTGCAAGGGGGGTCTACGGGGATTGGGGAGAGGGGGAGAAATGCAAGTAGTCAAGAAGATTAATCAATAAGCCTCGGATTATTGGTTAATCATATATTTGACAACTTGTTTACATCCCTATTTAATATAGAAAAGTCCAATAAAATCCTAAAAACCTTGCAAATTTACTCCAAAGCCAGTCTCTTGTGTTGGACATTTATCTGCAAGGGGCTGAGCAAATTACCTCCTTAATGTTATCATCAGTGAGAGAGAAAGATCAGGCATAAAATCTTTTGTGTCTCATTTAGGAGCAGAGTCTACCCTTGTACTACTAGTGTAGCTCATCTGCTCAGAGAATAGGCCGTAGGTGTGTACAAAATAGTAGCATAAAGACCATCTTTGCACTCTGATCTGGATGCAGCCTTTGTGTAGGCCCAGTCCCCATGCACTGAGTTACAGCTCCTTTAAAGCAGCATTTCCATAAATTGTTTACAAATAGCACCAAAGGTTAAGGCAGTGCAAAATTTTGGTCACACCCACTTTCCTCTATGCCTTTTCCCCCCACTATGCCAAAGTAGGGAGTGACATAAGAACTCTTATCCTATCTGCATGCTAGCCAGAAAATCACTCTTATATTGGGCTGATTCTTCATGCACGATTGCACTGAATTTAGAGCCACTTAATTTCACTAGTTCAAGATGGCACACACTGCACTGAAAAATCTAGCCCAGTTAGCTTTATTTATCATGTCAGCAAAACTTAGTTACAATATTTTCAGTTGATGTGCATTATAGAAGACAGAAGTGTGGCTGTGCATGAAATTCTTACTTTTGTTTCCTGAATGAGCCATTTGTAGTTTACCAGATTTTGACGTAAGTGGGGCATACAAGCCTTAGTTTGAAAAATAAGAGTTTCATAAGTTGTTTACTATTTGCAATGTTCCATTACACAGCTTCAAAAGCTTCTTACCATGGATCCTACGAAGAGAATTACCTCAGAGCAGGCTTTGCAGGATCCCTATTTCCAGGAGGATCCATTGCCTACATCAGAGTATGTCTCACGTTCTATACAATATCTTTTTTTTATTGTTAACTATTAATGTAGAGTGTATGGTGTAGAGCTTTATAGGAATACCAGTGATGTAAATCAACCAGTAGCAGAGAGAGCAGCAACTTTATACTTGCTGCACTCAGTAAAAGTAGGTAAATTGGGAAAGGGAGAAGTGATGGTTCTCAGAAAACTATTCTGAAATATTTATATAAATCTCTTGTAGACATGTCCTACGTAGACATTCAGCCAAGCTGTACATAATGTACTTAGTTCTGAACAATTACTTATCAGCCTCTCTTAACTTAGTCTACAGTCTCCCTCGGGCTGAGACCTTGAATTACGCTGGTTGAGGTAGTGTGACATGGTCAAATACATCTGCTGTTATGATAAGAATACCAAAAACACTTTCTCATATGACCTCAATCTAGTTTCTTACCATTAATTATAGACTGAGCTGGCAGCAGCATCTCACATAGTTAAGATTGCTGAACCATTTTCCATTATAACTTTACCAAACTTTAACAGTTTGGGCTGATATTTTCCATGCTGAGTCGCGTCTGCCTCTGGCTGTTTTTTATTTTCTTTTTTATTGAAAGTTTCACTTTAGCTGTATCTCTGAGAACAATGTTTAGGGAAAATATCATATTTTTCCAATAATAAAAATCCAGTTTTATATGGGACGCTCTAGTACCTCCATGTTTTGGATCAGGGACCAAAATTTGCCAAGATATTCTTCCTAGTGCCCGGGATGTGCTTTTTTGCTGTCTCCATGAAAATCTACCCAAAGCTGGCCAGGTTATAAGTATTTACAAAATTGCAATTCACAGATGCTTACTAGTAACTAGTGTTAGTTTGGCAGCTACATTCTCCAGATACACTATCTTTGTTGGGCATGCTCCATCCCAGCAGTGCCAAACTTCCTTTGCAATTGCTCTTCCCAGCTGCCAAGGAATGCAGTGGAACCAGGCATAGCAGGGACACTCACTCCTGTGTTCTCATTGCTCCCTCTGTTGGCCCTGAAATAGTAGGAGAATGAGGAAGACAGTGAGGGCTTCCACGGGTGTTTGGAAGGGAGGAGAGAGAGGTTGAGGATTCAGGAGGTGATAGGCTGAGGGGACAGAATGAAACTGTAGACACATGCCCTTCTGGAATATGAAGTAGAGCCCAAGATTTACCATTGTTGTGCCGTGAATGAGTAGTTGTGAAAATTACTGGTAAAATGTTTCAGCCGTAAGTGGCTGGTCCATATATAGAATAAGCAGGCTATTGCTGCCACTGGCTTGTTCATCATTAGCTCAAGTGGCAGAGCTCTCTGCTTATGGATCAGTTTAAATCCAGCCCTTTTCATGCTCCATGTGGCAGATCAAAATGGTTCCACGATAGAATGTTTTTTCAGTGTTCTAGAAAATTACAGCAGAAATACTTAAAGAACAAAAGAACATTTTGTTTGTCAGTCACGCCAAAGTTAGGAAATGCCAGACTTCAGGTTGCCCATGCAAGTTTAATTCAGCTCCCTTGTACACATGTTCTGCTACAGATTTTAATTACATTATTACATGCTGCTTTTCCACAGGATCCCTGCCTCATTCAGTGTTCAGGATAGGTATGTGCAGAGGCTGAACCAATATTCTGTAGAATGAGCTGCCTATAAGATCTCTGCCTTATTTGTTGTAGAAACAAAAGACAGGACTATGCAGCACTTTAAAGACTAACAAGATGACTTATTAGGTGATGAGCTTTTGTGGGCCAGACCCACTTCCTCAGATCAAATTGTGGAAGAAAATTGGCATGACCAAAGGGATACAATAAAAAAAACGAACACATATAAAACTGAGAAATCAGATTTTAGAACAGAGGGGGGATGAGGGCGGAGGTTAGTGTCTATGAGATGATATTAGGGGTGATAATTGGGGAAGCTATCTTTGTAATGGGTAAGATAATTAGCATCTTTGTTAAGGCCCATTCGTAAAGTGTCAAATAATTTGGAAGGTGTGCAGTGAAGGCGATTACAGGAAGAGAAAGGATGATTTAGGCCAGGGGTCAGCAACCTATGGCATGCATGCCATCAGTGGCACACAAGCTGATTTTCATTGGCACCTGGGCAGGAGCTCAGTCCCGCCCCTCCCCCCGCCCTGTGCATCAGGGAGTCTGCACTGCTGCTTGAGCGTCTCAGCCACCAGCACAGGCAGGGAGTTCAGCTGATTGGTGGAAAGGCAGGGCATTGTCAAGCAGCTGCTAAATGGAGCTGCTCCATGCTTGAAACAGAGTAGCGAGATAAGGTGGTGTTAATGGCTTAGATTTACAAACACCTAAGGAGACAGATAGGTGTCTAATGGGAATTGAATTTATTTTTCATTAAACTTTTAATGACAGTTAGATATCTGGGGTTTTCTGGAGTGCAAAGCAAGTTAGGCATGAATCTGCCTCTTCCAGCACCCAAATACCTCTGTATATCTGGCTCTAGAGCTTAAAAAAAAAAAAAAAAAAAAAAGCTAAAGGCTCTTTTGGGAATTGTCAACAAAAGCATAACTCACGATTTTTCCCTGTCTTACCAGAACTGGCTGAAATATGAGGACCTGTTTTCACAGAGGGGAAAAACCATGTATTAACTTATAAATTCAATTTTCATTTCAAACTGTGATAAATGTACCTATTTTTTTATTTTTTCCCCTTTTTCAAAATGTCCTACATCTTTTTTATTTCCCCCCTCTGCCAAAGAAGTTAGTGAAATTTTTCCTTTACAAAAAGACCCTCCAAAAACTGGCGCTAACTAGTTATAAAAGACTTTGAAATTTCAGTTAGTGAAAAGGCATGACATTTTTTACACAAGGAACCATTTTGACTGTGTTGACAGTTTGGGATGAGACAGTTTTGTTTTAGAAAAGAGTCCTTTCCGGCTTCCTAAAAGAAAAAAAAAAAGCTTTAAAAATTTCAACCAGCTTAGTGTTGCACTCTGAAACTCAGGTGCACCTTCAGCTCCCCTTAGTGCTACCAGGAAGTGTGTATACTCCACACCTTACAGCAGTGCATTTGCAGACCTACGCTCAGCGCAGTAGCTCATATAAAGGTAGAATAGTGATAGAGATGTAGCCGTGTTAGTCTGGTGTAGCTGAAACAAAATACAGGACTATGTAGCACTTTAAAGACTAACAAGATGGTTTATTAGATGATGAGCTTTCGTGGGCCAGACCCACTTCCTCAGATCAAATAATGGAGGAAAATAGTCACAACCATATATACCAAAGGATACAATTTAAAAGAATGAACACACATGAAAAGGACAAATCACATTACAGAACAGAAGGGGGATGTAGGGGGGGGGGAAGGAAGGTGAATGCCAGTGAGTTAATGATATTAGAGGTGGGGAAGGGGAAATGTCTGTGAGTTAATAGTATTAAAGGTGATAATTGGGGAAGTTATCTTTGTAATGTGTAAGATAGTTGGGGTCTTTGTTAAGTCCCGTGCGGAGAGTGTCGAATTTTAGCATGAATGCCAGTTCAGAGGATTCCCTTTCAAGTGCAGATTGAATGTCTTCTGAAGTAGGATGCAGGTTAGCAGGTCATTGAGACTGTGTCCTTTCTGGTTGAAATGACAAGCAACTGTTTTTTCTTTGTGATCCTGTCTAATGTCTGTTTTGGGGGCATTGATTCTTTGGCGAAGGGTCTGAGACGTTTGTCCAATGTACATAGCAGACGGGCACTTTCGGCACATGATAGCATAGATTATATTTCTGGAGGCGCAGGAATATGTATTCTTGATCTTGTAACTCACTTGGTTAGGCCCAATAATGGTGTCAGCAGAGTGAATATGTGGACAAAGCTGGCAGCGGGGTTTGTTGCAAGGGAAAGTACCAGGGTTGGTATTAGTGTGGTATGTCCTGTGGTTGTTGGTAAGAATCATCTTGAGGTTAGGTGGTTGTCTATAGGAGACTATGGGTCTGTCTCCCAGAGCTTCTTGGAGTTTAGTGTCCTGTTCCAGTATAGGCTGGAATCTATTGATAATATGTTGGACAGGTATAAGTTGGGAGCTGTAGGTGATGACAAGTGGTGTTCTATTGTTGGTTTTCTTGGGTCTGTCTTGTAGTAGATGGTTTCTAGGTATTCGTTTGGCTCTTTCAATTTGCTTTTTTATTTCTCCAGGTGGGTAGTTGAGGTTTATAAATGCTTGGTAGAGATCCTGAAGTTTCTGGTCTCTGTCTGTGGGATTAGAGCAGATGCGGTTGTATCGAAGGGCTTGGCTATAGATGATGGATCGTATGGTGTGTGCTGGATGTAAAGGTAGTGTGTGCCTGTCTTCTTGAGCTGCAACTTGCACTTCCAGCTGTAGTGTAGATGTACATTTGTGGGCTTACCTGAGCTCACTCAAGAAGTTGTGATGGAGCCAAGAATTAAGCCTGTGTATCCCAAAGTAAGAAAGAAAAAGATTCTTTCAACAGAATTTTTGTGGAGTGTTGCAGATATCTAAACCTCTGATCCTAATGTTTTTTTAAAATCCTGTGTTAATAAAATGGTAAGATCTGCATCTTTATTTATTAATGAAGCTGCTGTAAGTAGAACTATTACTGATTTTAAAAAGTATCAACAGCACACAGACCTGTAAACAGAAGAGAATAAGTTAAATCTCAGAACACCTCTTTGGAAAAGTTGCTGAGTTGCTCGTTTTAGGCAGCTGAATGATACCCTGGCCTAGAGAATTAGCTTCTGTTCTTGATTCTGCCAGGACGTTCCTATGTGCTGATGGGCAAGTCACTTACACCAAACTTTTCACAGTTGTCCACTAATTGTTTAATCCTCACTTAATGGGTGCCCAGCTTGAGATCCTGGGTTCTGATTTGCAAATGAGCTGAGTACTCAGAAATGCAACTGATGTCAGTGAGAGCTGATTTGAACATATAAACTCTATACACATGCCACTGGATCTCAAGTTGAGCAAATTCAGTGGACACTCAATAGTTTTGGCCTTAATACCTTGTGTCTCAGTTCCCCAGCTGATGGTAATGCTACCCTACCTTACAGGGGTGTTATACATATAATGAATTAATTTTTGTGAAGTATTCCTATGCCATAGGGATGAGCAGCATGGAAAAGTTCACAAGGAAATTAATAATTCTGTATTCCACACAGGAACTGGATGGTGTAATTGGATGGTGTAAATTACTCAGTGAAGAAGATAAAAATAAATATGAATGTCTGTCCATTCAAAGAGTGCTATCCATCCCATATACTTAGTGAGACAGGTGTAATGTGATAAAAATGGCATATGATCAAGTAATTAATATGTGTGTGCTGGGGCATGGCCACCGTTATTGTTCAATAGCCTAACATTTGAGTGCTTGTCTTCCCAACCTCAGCATTCTTTCAACATAGTGGGTTTTGTATACATTTATTTAATTGTGCCAACATGGTGTTGGGAGTTTTTCAGCCAGAAAGGCAATAAGAACCCTGTCCAGAAAACTTTATTATCCAAATAGAAAATATACAGATGCAGTGCAGGATGATTATTATTATTTATTATTTCATAGTGGTAGCACCTAGGAGTTCCAGTCATGGACTATAACCCCAATGTATAAAAAAGAGATCCCTGCCATGAAGAGCTTACAATGCAACCAAAGTCTGTGAGGGTATGTCTACACTACCCTCCTAATTCGAAATAGGAGGGTAATGTAGTCATACCGCAATTGCAAATGAAGCCCGGGATTTGAATTTCCCGGGCTTCATTTGCATAAAGCCGGCCGGCGCCATTTTTAAATGCCGGCAGTTCGAACCCCGTGCCGCGCGGCTACACGCGGCACGGAGTAGCTAGTTCGGATTAGGCTTCTAATCCGAACTAGCTGTACTCCTCGTGGAATTAGGAGGGTAGTGTAGACATACCCTGAGTGATCAAGCAATGACATTGATCTCAAGTCTTGCTAGTCCTATGATATTTGTTTAGAGTTTGAAAAATATTTATTCTTTTGTTAACGATTAATTTGAGGAGAGTTGTAGGAATTAAAGGATTCTGTTATGGTTGCAGGGCAAGCTGCACATTTAGACTTCTTTTAGTCCTTCTCAAGTGGATACCTCTCTTGGGGAAGCAAGGGATCCTATAATCCTTAGACAGGATCTCTGGGGTGCAGGTTCTCTGTTCACCAACTTTTATAACACAGTAGGCTCCACTGTATTTGGTGTCTGTATGCCCTTTTCTTCGGGGAGACTATTACAATTACGAGGATCCAAATAAAGTGACTTAAAACACCTTCTTCAAGGCAAAGTTTTGTTAATTCACCTAAAGATGCATAATAATTAACACAAAAGATTAAAACAAAGAGGCCTGTTGTCTGGGCCCTTCTTTTCTTTTAAGGTTTGGGTAAGTTTTATTTACCCCAAAGACTCATTCTCCTGAGTTTGGAAAGAGAGATAGCCCTGCAAAGTTCTCTTTGTCAGGCAGATATCCATCTCCAGCAACTGTTGCCCATTCAACCCCCCATCTTTCCTAGGTTGGGCTTTTTATTGGATTAGTGTCCCCACTGATCCTAGACATTGCTAGCCAGGTTGGAGCCAAGGACTGGGCATTTCCATGTAATAGTTCCCTTTGTGTTCTCTTAATAACCCTTGGTATCCTCCCTGAAGGTATTGTTTGTTTTCTGTGTATTCCCCCGCCCCCCCAACAGCTTCTTTTGATTTCACTCCATGCAGCCAGACAAGCAGGTAAACTGAGGAATGTGCAATATTCATACAGCCATTCCCCCCACCCCCACTTTCCACAACCTCCTAAAAGAATAGAATGCTTAAAAAGGAACTTCCAGTGGAGGCATGATAGACAGGGAATGGATTCCAGAAGTAGGAGCCCTCATATAAGAAAGTACATGTTTTTCCTAGAGTAGGAAAAAAAAGAATTTAAACAAAATCTAATTTGCCATAATGATTTGCAACCCCACTTAACAATTAGCATAGGCCTAGGTTAACTCTTTTAATATCATGTTAAGTTGACTGTGTTGTAACACAGCTTCCTTCCTCTAAGATTCCACTCAATGACAAGAATTGCTGAAATTAAAATTGGTACATAATATTATCTGCTAATGTGCCTTTTCTCTCTGATACTGGTCTACGTCTACCTGGATTACAACAGCTGGAAACTTGATTTTAAAAGTATTAACCAGTGTGTATACTAAATACTAATTGGTATTTCAAATCATGTTAGCTGACTCAGTCTAAAGGCCCCAGATACTGACTTACTCCAATTCTCTAGAGATGAATAGCTAATACATTTAGGCCGGGCATGATACAAAAGCCATTGAAGTCAGTGGAAAGACTCCCATGACATTAATGGGCATTGGATCAAGCCCTCAAACCACTGTACCAATCAACTCCCAATTGACTTCTGTAAGACTTCTATTTGATTCACATATTAAAGTGAACAAATGCAGTGGTGGCACAGCAAATAATTGTGCTGTCATTTGTGCTCACTCACTTCTGCTATAATTCTAGAGGAAGGCAGCTTGACAACAGCAAATATAACAGAAGTCAAAATCAGTATATATCTACCAGTAGCTATATATCGGTAAGGTGTCTGTACGGTTTCACTTAGTAATTTGGAGTAAAAGTATATGAAATATTAAAAGAAAAAGCCCTGACATATACATAAGATTAAATAAATGAATGTCAGAAGTATGTATGTTTAGTGTGTCTTTGATTTGCTGTTTGATATATTTCAGTGTATTTGCTGGTTGCCAGATTCCTTATCCAAAACGAGAATTCCTCAATGAGGATGAACCTGAAGAGAAAGGAGATAAGGTACAGTAAAGGACACTTCTATTGCAAAATGTGAGAAAAAAGTTGTGATGCTACAAAGGGAAACTAACAGATCATGGAATCTTATCCAGGAATGTGTTTTGAAGCCGAGACTGTCCCAAAATTTTAACAGTACGTTAGAAAGTTTCACATTAATACATGGTAAATTATAGTAAATAAAATTGTTTGTATTTTTCCTATGCTTGGAAATTTATAGCAACTCAGACATCTTTATTTTTATGACATTACTATATGGGCAAAAACCCTAATGTGGACACAGTTATACTAGAAAGTCAGTGCTTTTGTTTGTTGTCATGGGCTGAACTGCATTTGTGCTTGTTCTGCGAGTCTCTATGTGGGTGTTCATGCCACCTTCGAATTGGCCACCAGCTACAGCAGCCCATGTTTTGTCAACTGTGCTGTCATTGCTACAGAGCAAGATGTGCCTTGCAGTCCCTCTCAAGTGCAAACTTCAGCTGACAGGTTTCACTACCTTCACCTCTCTTTGTGTGGAACCACACCATTCTATTGTGAAGTAGGTATGTGAAAGGTAAACCAGTTAACTGGCAATCCGCAGTGACCAGCAGCTAATTAAAGCGACTCAGAACAGCTCCTTCCAAAACGGTGTATTGTCAGTTCACCCAAAATAACAAAAGTGTGTGTGTATCTGACTTTAATTGGACTTAATCCTTTCTGTACAAGTTTAGGAATGTTCTATTCAATCTAGATAACTTCACCTCTGGGCTGGGAGAGAGAGAGACTATGTTGCTGCATTCTCTGCCACATTCAAAGTGTCTCACCTCTGGCACCTGCTAGCAGTTCCCCATCCCTTCCTTTCTCTACCCCGCACACTTTGAATTGTTTATGGTTCTTTCTCTGGCTTTGGCAAAGCAGTGTATCACTTTTATCTGGCACATGGGAAAAACATCTAAATTTAATTGCCCAGCCATTGTCCCTCTGAAGTGTTTACCCAGAACTTAGCTCTGACCATTGTTTTAGTCCCTGCTTGCTCTTCCTTACAAGCCCTTCTAAATTCAATACCATATAGTCACACAGAATAATATCAGGTAGGTAAACTAAGATATATATAATATTCAGAACAAAATAACAAACAGTTATAGCCCTCATTCTCCACACTGATATAACTTCACTTGGATAAATAGTGAAAAATTGTAATGGCAGAAACACTCTTTTGCTGATCTGAACTGCCATCTGCACTCACAGAGTTGCCACAATAGCAATACTGGCAAACTTTTCTAATGTAGACTAGGCCTGAAACTCTTTCAAAAGCAATAGGAACAATAGCTGCACTACACAGGTATCTCAAACCAGCTAGGTAAACTACATGCCTCACCTGTCCAAAGCCAGAAAAAAATGGAATTAATAACCCACACCCTCTACTGAGAGACAGATCATTAGGTCCGGTTGTGCGAGTTCTCACTTTTTGTTTTTCATGTAGTCCAGGTTTTAGTTTGGCAGCTGTGGGGTTTGTAGTGAAAATCGCTCGGGTCACACCAAAGCACCAATGTCCAAAAATCACCAAATGTCAAATAAATAATTGGGGGGGGGGGAGGAGACATTCAGTATTGTGACACAAATTAGATCTTAACAGTGGCAGTTCATTTGGATCTTTAATACTGGTTTGATGTACCTCTGTGAGATAAATAATTACTTTTTTTTTAAAAGTTAAACTTCATTAACTTTTAAAAAAACTGTAACAAGTTAGCTTATTGATCCTTCCAAATTAGAATCTTGTGTATGATTGTGTATGACAAATACAGGCAGTAGGATATATTTTTTTACTTCAGCAGACAAGGAAAAAGAGAGCCATAAGGTCTCTATGTAGATGCGAGACAGTATGAGTCTTTGTACAGTCTGAAATAAGTACATTCTTGCAAATTTCATCTGGCATGTAACTTGTGACGTGGTCGTGATGAATGGTAATCGATGTATACTTCAGTTTGAGGAAGCTAAATAGCTTGTGAATAGTCTTCCAAGAAGTTTGTGCTGAAAGCAAATGATTGCAATGACTTATGGGAAGTGAATTTATGTAAGCTTTTCATCAAGGTTTACCACATCTAAACTATGATAAATTGTATGGTTAAGCAGAGCCCTCACTCCCAGGACCCTGGGAGAACTGGAGTGTTATATTTTATAAAGTTTTAAGGAATCTATCAAAAAGTGCTCAAATATTTTGAGCAACATTTTAGGACTAGTTTATACTATGCGCATTCTCTCCCTTGCCCCCCAATGATCTAAGTTATGCAACTTCAGTTACGCAAATAGCATAGCTGAAGTCAACATACTTACCATAGAGTCTTCTATGCAGCAAGGTCAGCAGAGCCTGCTCTCCTGTCAACTCCGGCTACTCTTCTTGTCATGGTGGAGTCAACAGGGGAGGGCTCGGAAGTCGATTTATCGTGTCCAAGCAGATGTGATAAATCGGCTGCCATTGGATCGATCACTGAAGCATTAATCCACCATATAGTGAGGACAAGCCTTTAGAGTTTTTTTATTAGCTGGTGAAACTTAGACTGCAGTTAAGATGTGTTTTTGTTTATCTTCAGATAAAGTTTATATCTTATGTGAACAACATGTAAAAATGGTCACTATTGCAGTCCCATTGGCTGCATGGATGCTTGGTATTAAGAGCCTTCTTCAGTGCTAGATGATTCTGTTTCCTTACAGCTGAATATCTGTGGAACTCCTGCTTATAACACTCCAGGCTCCATTCTTTCAAGTCCTTATGTTTCTGCTCCCAGATCAGCAGTCTCCTTTGCTCTGCAGCTCCCACTCTCTGCACCCATATGTTCTGCTATTTTCTCTCTGATTTCTGGCTCTTTCCCCTTTCTTTTATTTGCAATCAGGTCCTGCTGCCTCTTTCAGTTATCTTGCTTTTTTCTCCCTGCCACCAGATGCTTCTTTCATCCCTTTCACTGCCAGAAAATGACAGTCTTCTACTCTGTCTGCTCTAACAAACCTCTCTTCCTCCTGCCACTACTAAGGATGTTAAGCAATAGTCGACTATTTGATAAACAAATGCTAATTGACTAGTAAATTCCCCCCCCCTGCTGCCTCTAGAGGCAGCAAGGGGGGGGGGGGGAGGAAGAGGGGATACTTCCTGTACCCAAGCTCCATGTGGCGCTGCCACTTTAAAATGCTGTGGCAACTTTTCAAAGGGGCAGAGCTGCACAGCTGATCCCAGGATCAGGTGTGTGGCACTGCCTCTTTGAACACCACCTTGGCATTTCAAAGCAGCACTGCAAGGAGCTGTCCCTGGGCTCTAAACGGCACTGCCCTTTTAAAGGTCAGTGTCGCATGGAGCCCTGGGTTAGCTCTGTGCCTCGGTGTTTCAAAGTGACAGTGACACGTGGAGCCCGGGGTCAGATGGGGACTCCCCAGCTGATCCCGGGCTCCATGCAGCATTTCAAAGCTGGTATGCTGCATGCAGCCCAGAGTCTGAGAGACTTCCTGTTGGCCCTGGGCTGCACGTGAGTTCTGCATTCCTCCAGCAGGGGCTCTTGTACATTTCAAAGGAGGAATGTGAAGTGCCTATTGACTAACTGAGTAGTAAATTAACCGATATTCAAAGGAGGAATGTGGAAGTGCCTATTGACTAATCCAGTGCATCTCAACCTCTTTTAATAAAGTATCCCTCTTTTAAAAAAAAAATGACAAGTACCCCCAGTACCTACAGTTTTCAGACACACATTTTTTTTCTACCATTGCAACACATTTGTTTAAACAACTTAATCGTAGCTGGGTGAGCAATGAAATTTTTGGGTGTGTAAACTACAAAAATAATAAAACGCTGTAAAACTTAAAACAAAAATTCAGTTTTCTCCAAATTTCAGTTATGTTGATGTACCCCTGAGGCTTCTCTCGAGTTTCCCTAAGAGTACTCATACCACTGATTGAGAAACACTGGACTAATCGACTAGTAGATTAACTGATTTGTACTGGGTGAGCAATGAAATTTTTGGGTGTGTAAACTACAAAAATAATAAAACGCTGTAAAACTTAAAACAAAAATTCAGTTTTCTCCAAATTTCAGTTATGTTGATGTACCCCTGAGGCTTCTCTCGAGTTTCCCTAAGAGTACTCATACCACTGATTGAGAAACACTGGACTAATCGACTAGTAGATTAACTGATTTGTAGTAGTTCCTTCCATTCCTTCTCACTTAGGAGTTGTTAGATTGTCATTCAAACTACTTTTTTTCTCTTAACACACTTTCTTTTTTAAAATGAACCATAAACAATTTTATTTTATTCTGAAATTTCAAATCCGAAATGTTTATGTATCTTGAAATTCACCCATCCCTTCTCAGTTCACAAATATCTATCTGCAGCAATAGCAGCATATTGAGGACTGATGTTTCACTTTCTTTGGCTTCCCACTGGGCTTTGTCTTGTGACTGGTTCTGAGCCCCAGTGTTCTGTAGGAGTGGCTAAAGTGTTTGTAACAGCAAACAGAAATAAATATTCCGAAAAAGTAACCATCCCCAGCTCTGCTTTTTCTTAGAATCAACAGCAGCAGAATCAGCATCAGCCACAAGCTGCACCCCAAGCAGCACCTCAGCAACAGCAGCAGCAACAGCAGAACAGTACCCAGACAAATGGGACTGCAGGAGGAGGTGGAACAGGAGGAGGAGGCACTGGGGCAGGACTCCAGCACAGCCAGGACTCCAGCCTCAATCAGGTGCCTCCAAATAAGAAACCACGCATAGGGCCTTCAGGCACTAACTCAGGCGGGCCTGTCATGCCTACAGATTATCAGGTACAGACTTTGATTGTTATTACTTTTGTTGGTTGTAGGAGTAAGGGGGAGTCAACTGAAGAAATTTCTTATTTTACAGTGAATTATTTCCACAGAATAAATGCACTTTAAGTGAAGTTCATTATAGTGGAATGATGCTTGCTCTAATATATTAGTACAATAGGGGACTTAATTCAACTTCAATTTAGAAAACATTTCACTGTATCAAGTTCATTGTAGATGGATTTCACTCTTTGGTATTTAGGTTTCAAGAGTGATTCTTTTGTTCTTAGAATTTTAATATTCTTCTAAAACACATGCATAACTTCAGGCATGTGAGTAACCCCACTGAAGTCAGTGGGACGGTTTTCACATGCTGAAGTGATTTCCTGGATTTGACTCCCACACCCTTCCTCCTGACTACTGTCCAGAGCACCAGGGCTGGTGGCTCAGCAGCTGTGCTGCCCAGCCAGAGCTGTAGCCACGCTGCCCAGAACATCAGGGCTGGTGGCACCATGACCACACCACCCAGAAGCTGGGGGAGCTGAGGCTGCAGAAGAAGGGAGGCAGAAGAGAAGAGGGACCAGTTGCTAGCCACGCTGCCCGCGAGTTGAGCAAGGCTGTCCAGACTCCACAGGAGCTTGGGGGCCGGACTAAAGGGTCTGAAGACCAGATGTGGGCCATGGGCCGCAGTCTGCCCACTCTGCTCTCTAGCATAGTTCATTATGCTTCATGATTAAGCAGACACCTCTAAAGTGCTTCCTGTGAATAAATTTAACTGGGAGTGTTCAAATGAGAGGTTTGCGGGGTTACTTGCATTAAGCTGGTCTGTTGTTTCCCACTCTCAGTATGCTCTAACTACAGCAGTGTTAGACTATAGTCAGTGAAAACGATCTTTCTGTATCCTTTTTGATGTTGCATATTTGTCTTGTTTTACTAGAATTAGAATATTTTCCCACTGAATAAGCGACAAATGCATGAATACTGGGGGAGATCACAAACATTTCAAACAAGATTGCCCAGATACATATTTTCGTTTTTTAAATACACTTGAAAACAAAGCTTTGTTTCTTATCTTGAAATATTTTTGAAAATATGCCAGAACAAGAAGAGAATGGATACCACATGAAGTTACTTTTTTTGAAATTATTCTAAACGCAATTGCTGGATACTTTTAGTAAGGGCATCACCTTAATAAAAACTCATATCAACCCTTTTTAAACCTTTGTTTTTCCTCTAAAGCTGTTTTTTACTTCCTTAATTCACCAACCCCTCCTCTCCATTTCTAGTTTTCTTTCTTCAGAGTCATTTAATAGTAAGAACTCAGTCAGATTTCTTTCTTGAAAAGTTCCAGTTATTTGAGGTCTGGGAAAATCCCTATTTATGTCTAGCTTGTTCCGGCAACATTTTGAGAATTTTTGTGCTGCATTTGATTTTATTATTGATTCTGGGATATTTCAGAATATCTTGGCGTTCTAGGCAAGCTTCTCCATTACAGGATTTTTTGAAAAATTAAATATAGCTCTTTTGTTTGTTTTTTTGCAGGGCTTTTAGCCATTTGTTTTAGTGATCCTTCCCCTCCAGGCTTTATTTTGACCTCCTGTGCTGTTAATTTTTTGCATGTTTCCATTAACTCAGCAGTTAGTGTAATCTGATTATTCTTTTTAACACTTTTATTTGGCTAGTGCACCTTCTCTCTCTCCATTCTAACTGACTGTCTTAGATCCAGAATGGAATGTCTGCAATTTGTCCAAGCTTGGAGTCAAAACAGATTTTTTTTTCCGTTTTTTTTTTCTTTGGTGGAACTAAAGTAAGCATAACCTAGTTAAATGCATTGTTAGTCTAATGGCATTAATCTTCCTCTGTTAGATTTAATTTTAAATTAGAAGGAAAAAATGTTTTACTTTGGGGCTCACTTATCTTCTGAATTTAAATCCGTGGTAATCAATTGTTTATATTATTTAATCAGAGTCACTCTTCATTATTTTTAAGAATGACAACTGTAATTTTTTGTTTGCTTCTATGCACAGGCTTGTTTTTCTGACCCTTTCTTTGTTTCAGCACTCTACCCAGGTTCTTTATTCATCTTCTTAGTGGAGTCTTGATTTAAGGTTTATCACAACTGGTGACAGAGCATTTATTTTTGTTCTTTGTTGGATGCTGCCTGAACGTTAAAAGTTACAGAATCAGAGTTTTGTAAAACTAAACTCAGAGGGTACACAGGCATTTATTTGGTTTGAAAGCCAGATTTGATCACTTACACAGGACCATGATATATTTTACATGAAAAGAGCTAGGTATATTTTATACAATGTATATTATATGATATGTTACATTCTACCAGGTTTAACTTTTTATTGACAAGGAAACTGGAAGGAATGAACAGACTGAGTCACTATTTTATTGTGACTCTACAAAATACTGTACAGAGTCAAGTACAATATTTTGAAATTCTTAAAGTAGCTGATGTTTCTCCATTTTTCTGTAAAAAGTATTAAGAGTAATGAATAATAAAAAAAATTTCTGTTACAGGTTGCAAAACCTGGTTTCACAAGTTTGGCAATTTAAAGAACAAATTCACAGAATTAAATATTAGATTTTTCAGATATGCACTCAACGGCATCTCTGTAATGTCTTTGTTTTTAGTAGATGGAGCATCAGAATATGAATCAAGACTGGTTTTATTGGAATTTATCAACAAGTCTCTCCCCAGTCAGATGTTGGGCTTTCTTTTAAGTAATGTCCTCACTCTCTTATTCCATCTCTTCTGAAACTGAATACATTGTCTCTCTAGCACATCTAATTCCTCCCCTCAACCTCTATCTTAGGGTATGTCTACACTACCCCGCTAGTTCGAACTAGCGGGGTAGTGTAGACATACCCTAAGATAGAGGTTGAGGGGAGGAATTAGATGTGCTAGAGAGACAATGTATTCAGTTTCAGAAGAGATGGAATAAGAGAGTGAGGACATTACTTAAAAGAAAGCCCAACATCTGACTGGGGAGAGACTTGTTGATAAATTCCAATAAAACCAGTCTTTTAGGCTTCCTAATCCAAACTAGCTACTCCGTGCCGCGTGTAGCCGTGCGGCACGGGGGTCGAACTAGCCGGGATTTAAAAATGGCCGCGCCCGGCTTATGCAAATGAAGCCCGGGAAATTCAAATCCCGGGCTTCATTTGCAAGTGCGGTATGCCTACATTACCCCGCTAGTTCGAACTAGCAAGGTAGTGTAGACATACCCTCTGAGAATGGCGGTTTGGAGCTAGCAGTAATTTATATTGTTATTTAATCATTAGTGGCATATAAATAAATAAAATAGATATTAAGAATACATCATATATATCAGGTTAAGAAAAACTAAATATTAAAATTTGGGAATGGTGTCACTTACAATCCAAGACAATTTTTAGATTATTTTAACTGCTATCTTTTTACTTGCTTGTCAAACACATAGCACCATTTGAGTGCTATGTCGATAATAATTATTTAATTATCATACTGTTGGCCCTTGAAGAGTAATGTTGTTCAGTCACTTTCATCCAGCTCTTTGATTTGAATGAACCTGTTAAGAGTTGAAAAGCTCCCAGAATCATCCTTACATGCCATTTTAATTTCTTTTCCATCTTCTTTTTCTTTCAAGCACTCCAGTTCACGCCTGAGTTACCAAAGCAACATTCAGGGATCTTCTCAGACCCAGAGTACAATGGGCTATTCCACATCATCTCAACAGAGCTCTCAGTATCATCAGTCTCATCAGTCCCATCGGTACTGAGACCTAATAGACTATATTTAGAAAGGAATGGACTAAAAGGCAAAAGACTCCAGCAATATGAAGTTCCTAACAATGAGAAGAACCAAAAATGCAAACTGTGATACAAATTTAAAATTCACAATTTTAAAAGGAAAACTTTATTTACTGAAGATTTTGTTTTTCAATGACACTGTTCCTTCTTTATTGCCATAAAGGAGATTCTTGTGAAGTTGCCCCCCACACTTCCCTCGCATGTGTTCCATTGTGGTTACTATAATGAAACCGTCTGATCTGAACCCAGCACTTAACTTCTTTAACTTTTGGAATTTTTGAAGGATTCCTGGTGCACCTTTTTCATGCTGTAGTAATCGCCATAAATCTATCTTTTCAAATCTCTTTAATGGGATTTTAAAGTTTTAAAATCTTGAACTCCCAGGCTTTCAAGCTTGTATATAGTTAGTTTTATACTAGGCAAACCAGTTTAGCTATACAGGTATAATGCACCTTTTTAAAGCACTATGTTTTTTTTCACGGGATATTACTGTTTTCCTCATGGATGTCAAGAACAGCAAATTTTACTGTTCCAGAGTATTTTACTATTCTGTTTATATTATTCTAGTTTTCAGGCAAGGTCTTAGGAGGGAAAAACAAACAAACAAAAAACCAACCCAGGTCTCTGCAGCAGCTAATGTGCTTCATGGTACTGGAGTGAACACCAGACAAAAGATTGTGAATGTTTCTTAAATCTTTCTTATTGAATCCCATGCATATTATCCCCATGTTCAGAGTAGTGGTGGATAAAGCATTATTTCATACTACTTACATGAAAAGAAGATGCTTTCAGAGCGCCATCGGAACAGAGGAATGGAATGGAATGGAATGGAATGGACCGGATCATCATCTCTGGCAGGGCACCCAAATAGCCAGGAAAATATCTTTAGTGTCCTGTGATCTCAATAGAAGAGAGAATGCAGTTGAGGACTTATACTAATCCTCGTTTAAAAAAACAAAACAAAAACAGTTCTTTAATGTGTGTGGGAGCTCTATACATCTGGCGCCTCTGATGAAGTCCCCCTTTGTCGGTATCCCTGAATCAATTATCTAAATATAAAGATGATATAAATGTAAGGGATTATAAAACTAAAGCCAATAATTATCAAATTTTATGTAAGATCATCAAATTTGAGAAATTACTGTGTGTTTTGAAAGGCATGTTGAAAATTGTCCTCATTTTTCACATTTAATACGCAAATTCATTACTCTTCACATTTCTGAGATTAATTCCAGATTAGTTGTACAAGATGCGCTTGGTTGCACTTAAATGTTTCTTTTTCCCAAGAGCAAACACATTGTGATTGTGCCTAAAGACCGTAAGTGGATGGGTTACTGGCAATCTATCCCAGGTAAATAATTAGAGCTTGCAAGCATAATTGGAGGATCGTTGTCAACTTTTGGAGCCACAGTTATTTAGAGACACATAATGTATAATTTGGAGCAGCTCTGTTTTCCTTCAATATTTAGAAGTAAGGTTGACAATTCTGATTGCACTAAAACTGGAAAGACAGTCATGTACTTTAGAATGTTCCTTGCTGTATAAGCAGCACCAGTCTTTCTTTTAATTGACTTCTGGGGAAGAAGTTGAGAAAGGAGCAAATTATGTTTAAACAATGCATATTACGGACATTTACACTACACAGTGTGATATCATATTTAGTTGTGTTCTATCATGAATCCATGCAAGACTTTAGACCATTATACATTCCACACTAAAATTGTGTTAGATATTAGTCAGGTGGTAGATCTATTTGTGCTGAGGAGACTGTTTTTTCAACCCAGTTAGTCAAGAATAATTAAGTATTTTTACTGGCAGTGAGCTCCCACTAACCTTTTGATGCTTTATTTCTCTCACAAAAATGTTGTGTTTTTATGACCAGTTGAAAACCTGGTTTGGCTCCAGCAGCTGCCACAAGACCTTGCTCCATTTGCTGATGACACCAGGATTCTATGGAAAGCGACTCAAAATAGAATGGGCAAGAGGTGATAAAAACAAAATGAAGCAGTTTGAAGAAAAATATAAATTATTATTAGTACAAACCCATATTTATTAGTGATACTGCATATCCTCTGCTTCTGAGTAACTTAGAAGGAACTGATTTTAATTGTTAGTACATTTCTTTACCTGCTTGCAATGTATCTGAGCTCAAAATCTTTCCCCAGATGCAAGTCCCCACTTCTTAACAGTTTCAGTGGGAGTCCCATATCTATTTGAAGGAGAGTTTGGCCCCTGCCATACAAAAGCAGCATTGGATATTCTTGTGACTGGCTTCCAATATTCGGGTTACCAGGCTCTTGACATGCTGGTTGTTGTCTCTTCTTGTCTTCATATCCCTCTGTCTCCTCAAAATAGCATTGGCTATTGTAACATAATTATCTAACATTCGTCCCCCTCCTACCTCTTTTATTCATCATCAAATTATTGATGGTGGCAGGGGGACAAATCTGCTTGTAGTTATGCTGGTCTCTAGTAGTGCCAACAAAGCTTAATCATAGTGTAGGTCCAACTATGTGTGGAGTGCAAAGATACACAGCATTATAATGTACTTTATTGATTCAATGAGCTTCCATACCCTACAATGACTGCTATCACCATTGTCTAAACTGAATAGATATTTCTGTAATTGCTAGATCTAAATTGCTTGCTATGCTTTAGCCTCTTGCAGCTTCTGTGCACGTGCAAAGCTGAGCTAACTCATTTTTGCCTTCAGAATAAAAATAGAAAGGGGAATAAATAAAAGCAGTGGTTACTGCTTAAAAATGTTTACTGTGCATGTTTGCTCGCTTTCCCTCTCTTTGTCAATTGGTGTTTGGATATTTGGCCTTTTCTGGTGAGCTGTGTGTGAATTCCAGGATGGATGGGAGCCACGGTGAGAGAAACTTGATTAGGGGTAATTTTATGAGGAAAAATGTCCTTTGTGTATTGAGAGGTTAATAGTGTAAAATAGCAATGGGCAACCTAGGCTAGTGAGTGGGATACATGTGTGGCATTCTTTCCTTTCAGTGGGCCATATGTGCAGTAACCAAGATGGTTTCCTGAGATAGGGTAGTTTTGCTAACTGTGCTTGCATATATAGAATTTGTGGGGTGTGCTGATTGAACTGTAGCAGCGCTTTAACTGTATGCAGAGGGAACGCACGGATCTCATAGTTTTGTGTGCAATCAGCGCGTACCTCACTTCATGTGCCCTTGCTTCACATGTATGTCACTTCAGTAGTACTGGTAGAAAGAAAACTGCAAGGATGGAAGCCAATTTAATCTGGCAAACCTGTGCATGGGCAATGCTAAACAAAATGTCTCGCAGGCCACATAAATATCCAATGGGCCATATGTGCCCCACAGACTGCAGGTTGCTCACCACTAGTGTAATATGTTATGGGAGTCCAGGACCTTGTATATTTTTTACTTGTGCAGTTTTGGTAACTGACATGTATTATTATTCACAATTTTGACCTTTCCCATAACCTTTGTGTGCCCTCAGAAAGGTATTTCACACTGGCAGCTAGAAATAGAAAGTAACATCAACTTGATTTTTTCTCATTCCTGTTCCCTTGGTGAAACAGTGGACAGTCAAATACCATCCTGCAATGTTTCTCATCTGGTTGTTGGAGAAGACAGGAGAGTGACAAATGGGATTAGCAGCATAGTCTACATTGGTGAAGTTTATGTAGCACAAACTGCACAATGAAGGAAGAAAACTGTAAAAGCTGCGAGTCCTGCACTGTATCTGTGACACTGTATCTTTTTGCGGGAGGGTGAGGGAAGATTATTCTGTAGGGAGGGTGGAAGTAGCTTGAAGTACTCAAATATGTCTAATATTTTATATAAACATATTATAGCTTAGTTCCCCCTTCATAATCTTCTGTAATGGTACTTAAACACCATTAAGCAAAGAATTGTTTTAGGATTAAATGTATTGTACATAAGGCCATATGTAATCTTCTAAAAGTGTCGCCACACAAGAGCGATATGTATTACTATATGAAAAAAACCCTTAATGCACTGTTATCCTAAATATTTAGTAGTAAATTAATACTATTTAATTTTTTTAAAAATCTGTCTTGTGTAGACACTAAAAAGTATTACACAAATTGTGGACTGAAGATGTCCTTTTTAACAGCAATTTAAAGAACTTTTTATATATGTCATGTAGTATGCTTTTAAAATTGTTCTAGTTTGTATTCTATCATGTTTACTATTGGTGGAAGTGTGTCTCTTCCTCTGAATTGTTTTTATAATTTCATGCACGCATCTTTCATTTTTGTAGTTTTTATTATAGATTACTGCATATGCTCTTCATGCTGCCACAAAGCTTTGCTGTTTTAGATCTATGGTAGTGGCCACATACAGCAATACTCATGCAAATGGGTTTGCAAACAAAAAACAAAATATTTGTTTCTCATTCTAGAGCCAACAGTTTACTGCTTTTAAGTTGTCCTCATGTCGCTCTTGAAATGACTGTTAAAACTAAACTATGACTTCACTGCATTTATTTTATATTCCTGGTTGTCATGAAATTGAATTGACTTTGCTTCAGTGTGAATTTTTAATACAAATAATATACATTTGTAATAACAATAAAAGGTTCAAATCAAACAGTTGTGTTGGAAAGTTGTGAACATCAGACTTTGAGTTACAAAAGAAGCAAAATGTATCCTACACTGTTGCAATTTGTAATTGTATTAAAATGTTTATGATATTGTAAACCACACAACAGTGCTTGTAAAACCTCCAGATTGGAATTACAGCCTTTAAAATACCCAGGAGGGTATTCATATTTTGTATGTATGGAAATAGAATGAAGCTTTAAGGAAAAACAAAACAGGTAGAAGACTTGGTACTTTCTCTAAAGTGATTTAGCATGCAGCTTGGATACCACTTTTAAAAATACAAGCTACCAACCTGGTGATTTTACATGTGTCTTCTGGAAAAGCTGTGCATTTGGTGACTAAGCTCTCCCGTCTATTTTCCCTCCCCAAAAATCTCATTTCTAGGCTATCTTTGAATATAATTCTCCTAATGTCTAGGGTGACAGCATGTTAGATTGGAGAACATGAGTTAGGGAACACAGCACTGTTTTTAAGGTTGACTTTCCATGTTTTGTTAGCCTGCATAGTATAATTTAAATGAATTGGTTTTTCAGAGATGGTTGTTATATTGGCTTTTCCATAAACTCTACCCATTTGCTCCATCCCAGCTATGTGTGTGAGAATGGCTGCCATTTGCTTGCTTCTTGACTGACACTAAAAAAAAGGCTTGAATTTCTGCTATACCTTTATGACAAAAACGTACTGTACTCCTATTCACTAAGCTGTTGGCTTCTAACATGTAAAGGATTCTGACTGATTTCTCCTCCCTCATGCATCCAAGGATTAAGTTTAACATGATACATGCAAGATATCACAGAGGTTTATTTTACTTTTTGTCTGCACTGATGATCTGCATTTCCACCGCTTAGCATCTCACCTAGAATTTAAGTACATCAGAAGCAAGAAGCCTGCTAAACAGCCAGTGGTTGGGCCACTGGATGATCAAGATGATAAGGTCATTGTTGCAGAGAAACTAAATGGATTATTTGCATCGGTCTTCTCAGTTGAGGATGTTAGGGAGATTCCCAAAACTCTTTTTAAGTGACAAATCTGAGGACTTGTCCAAAATGGAGGTGTCCCTAGCAGAGGTTTTGGAAAAAATTGATAAACTAAACAGTAACAAGACACCAGGACCAGATGGCATTCACCCAAGAGTTCTGAAAAAACACAAATGTAAATTGCGGAAC